CCCACGTATTCCTCCCCACCCACCCCAGCCCGACGCGTAGGCTTTCGCAGCCCCGAGAGAGATTTCGGCCACGAGGTCCAAAGTCAACATGGAATTCTCTCGCGCCCCCCCGCCCTCAGGGGCCGGCCGGCCTGGCTGCTACTGCGCCGCGCCCGCGCCGGCCGTCGACCCGCCGAGCGTTCCTCTCCGGCCGCGGGAATTATTACTGAAATATTAATGCCTTACACTGTAAGTTTCTCACAAACAACTGCTCTTCGTGACGTACAAAGAATTTGGAGCATTTGTAATTGTAATACAAACAAATTCATTGAATTACGATTACGTAATACGAAGGAAAACCGTTCGTAATGTGGCTGCTTTAGATCATTTTGTATGTTACAAACCCAATTCTTCGATAAGAGCACTGCTGTTTGTAAGGAACTAAGAGTGAACGTTGTTTTTCTCCACAGTGGGCCAAACCATTTTTTTTCCTTTTTTTAAAGTGAGCATAGGCCGTGCAAACACAACCATGGACCGTTCGTCCGCCTGATGCCGGGGTCGCTCACCTCCTGGAGGGCCTTCTCGTAGGAGGGCGGCGGCAGGTAGGGCAGCGAGTGCGTCGGCGTGCCCGCCGGGCCCGGTTGCGAGTGGTGCGAGGACTCGGACCCCGTCCACGAGAGCGCGCTGCAGCACGAGCTGGTGGAGGACTGCTTCACCACGCCGGGACTCATCTCCCGACCTGAAAACAAAACAAAGCATACTTTAGCTGATGATACCTTCAAACACTTACACAAAAAAGCACAAACGTATCGAGTAAAGTCTGTAAAACATAATCACATTTGCATTGTTTCACAAGGATGGATTCCCAGATCAACATGACCTGACCCCCTCGCCGCGCAGCTGCGCTTACTGCATCTCGGAGGCAGCAGCTCAAACTTTTGCAAAATTAGGAACAGACGGGCGCTCGGGGGAATTGAGTGGTGCTGTTACATGGTCGTTTCGCGTGCACAGACTATTAAGGGAATTGGTCTGCACTCCGCACCACTCCCCGCCACGCCCGCCATGCGCCCTGGCCAGCCCTGCAATAAGAGCTCCCCCGATCCTCCCCGCCGCTGTGTTTTTCATCCAGCCAACCACTCCTCCGGCCCAGGCCGAGTGGGTTTTGGTTTTGAGCGTGAAATGGGGCAATACAACCGGAGTACAGTGGTAGTAAGGGGCGCTGCGCCCTCGCCACCGCTTCGCCCGCGCCCTGCAACGCCCTGCCACGCCCGGCCACGCCCTGCCACGCCCCGTCCCGCTCGGCAAGATGAATCTTTTTAAAAGGAACGTGCTGCAGTGGCAGCAGCACGAGCAAAAGCACAGCAGAGCGAGAAGGGGGCGTTTCAGTTAGTGAGGCGAGCGGGGCCAAAGCTGCCTGGAGGGCGTGGCCTGGCGTGGCGGGGCAGG